AGTGTAAGGATAAATGATAATACTGGATTGACTAAGTCTATGTAGGTGTTTCAAGCTACAAGCCCCTAACTTACTGATTATGGGTCATGTTTGATTCACTATATCGTTATCATTACTCAATTCAAACTCTAGAGTGAACCTCTCAACATGTTCAATTTTAATGCTAAACATTTCACAACTGTAATTTACATTTAATATCTTCAGCATGCTCATCACTTAATATTGGCACAGCTACACGCTCAAATGTTAATCAAATTTATAATTAAATTTAAAACCAAACACCCATCTCGAAAAATCATGCTTTTTTTAATACCAGTAAATGGACTAAATAAACTTTTAGCTTCTTCCACAAAATACCTCACATTTGACACTGAGAATAATAATACAGAATGTATCAACTAGTAGCCCCAGTATATATTGATTTCGCTCCATGGTACATCGAATATTTAATTATCTTATCTATCTTTCATACAGTGTGTACACTTGAATCGATTCACAATCAAATACAATGTACGATAAATAATGACGTGACGTATATGAGCATCAAAGAAACTGTCTATTTATGGCTTGTTCAAAGTAAATTGCTATGCTCCGACTCTACGATCAAGGGAAGAAGTGGTGGTCGATAATTTTTGTTAATTATCATAATCCTCCTCTTGGATTGTTAATTACTTTTCTAAAGTTTCATAAACATAGTAAGTAGCATAATCCTATTTTCATCAGACATTTATTTTAGCACATAAGTTGGATGCTCTCTTGGTTTCATTATCAAATGTGATGTTTTTCATTCGGATAGTTCTGAACTTTACTGACCAAGATTACTGTGTAAATTTAAACTGTTGTTGAAGTTAAACTCAATTATAGACTTACAAAACTGTCCAGAAACATCTTAAAACGACCAGAATGAATACGAATCCAGTAAATTAGTATTTGACTTTCGTTATTTTCTTTTGATTTCAGACTTGTCTTACAGTTGGACACTTTCATTTAGGCTAATTTCAACTAAATTAACAAGTATAAAGAAAGTTCTCCGTAGAATCCAGGAAGTTTTTCGTCTTTGTTTAAAGCTATTAACTAAGTAATACCAGTTAGGCAAGAAAAAGAGAAAAATAAATGTGAATCTTGAATGGATATTATTTATTTTTAGTTAGTTGTTACGTTCCTAATGCTTAGTTACCGAAACAGTTAGATCACTTTATTTATATGTGGTCCCTAATTATAATCTATCTCTTTTTACTCAAAAATTGTTTTCATATATTTTATGGTCGGTTAATTACAAACCTATCTGCTGCTCAGCCCTTTTGTAGAAAATTTCACAGTTTCGTATTTATTAAGACCTATTAGTTGTGATAGCTTGTGGTTCCATGTTATACTTATACAAAACCTTGATCCTCGAGTTTTAGTAGTAATTGTATTAAGGAAACATGACTATTTATCCCACCTTTCGTTACTCTGATAAATAATAAACAATAACCTATTCCTATTCACTTTAAACTTGCAACATGACGTTGTAAATGTCGTTGTTTTGAATGGAAAGTGAATGAATCCATTTGGATAAGAATACAATGTAGGATTTCATTCTGAAATGCAGAAATGGAAAAAGTTCAAAAGGTGACAATAAGCAAAGATGGAGGATGGCTAGCAGTGGAATCGCAGTCCTAAACATCAATGGGAAAATTCAAATAAACAATATAAAATGAGTTCAAAAGGTGATTTTAAAATAGCTATTCTTAAAATACCTAATTTTTCAATATGTACACCTATGTCTAGAAGTAATTGTTTTAGGAGAAGTTATCAGTTGTTTTTGCAAATTCAAAAGAATTCGATTCATGACTTGAATACTTTTAGCCAATCAGTCCTCTTGTTAAATTTTTAATAGATTTCGAATTTTGACCTTTTCATCTTTACTAATTTCACTTGACAGAGTATTCAAATTATTGTTAATTTTGACACTATTTGCTCGAGGCTTAAGGATACTAGTAACCACAGCAACAACGTATGATGACTTTACTTCTTTACTTTAATTCCTCCTTCTAGCTTGTTAACATTTTAAAAATTGTAGATCGGTGAGAGTTTCTATGCTAACTAGGAAGTTAGTATTTTGTTATGATCAACACATCAGAGGTTAAAACATATTTATGTGAGAAATCAAGGATAATTTTATCACTACAGAATAAATGAAAAGAAAAGAAGCCCATTCATAACTGTGCAGAAAATTTCAAGATTCCACGCTAACTTTTCAAATATTTCATTAGATATAATTATAACGAATATTGAGTCTAGTGTTGTTTAAATTAATTTAAATTCTTGTCAATACAAATGTGCATGGTATCTGTCAAACACAAGCAAAAAGTACTTTATAAGTAAAATATTCAAGTAAAATGTTCATACCATGTATATCAACAGTAAGAAGGAGGGAAAAGTAATACAGGAATTCAATAAATATTGTCAGAAGCCAGCTAAAAGCACCTAGTGGTTAAATAGAATTTCTTATCATAGGATTTTTACATTAACTGGTGTAAGCTGACTGTGTTTCATTACCATCCGATATGCGATTTCCCAGATCATGGGAACTAATTACTACTATATTTTAGACAAGAATGAAGGACATCTGTGTCAATAACATTCAAATAATTATACAATTTTAAGAGTTGAATTCATGAGTCGATGTAGGCTAGACCACCGTTGAAAAACTGATTCGTCCTAGTATGGGACCCCTCAACAGTGCATACCCACGACCCCGCACACAGGATTTAAAACCAGGACCTTCGGTCTCGCGCGCGAACACTTGACCTGTAGACCACTGAGCCGACATCCAACGGTGTTAATGTCTAACATCAACCGATCCATGAATGGTTGCGCAACCATTCATCTGTTGTCTGAAGTAGCTACCTATCTCTACCCAACACGGATTGGACGCCACTGGTTACAAATGTCGAGAAATATTTTAACTAGCCTAAACACACCTGTTTGAATATTTAAAGAAGATGATACTAATAGACGAGTAAAAACGGCATGATTTACTGGTAACTGGAAAAATATATGTCCGAGATATGAGTGTGTCATCAATTAAAGGCGGTGATTTGTCAAGAAATGATTAGAGGAAAATTAGCTGAAGCCATGAACTGATATTAGTCGGAAAAAAAATTCAATACTAAAAACCATTGTCATCTAAACTATTCAATTGTCAAGATGTTTGACCACAAACAAAATGGAGGCCTAGATATCTAGAATCTATAGTGTGGATGTTATTATCTGTCACTGAGCTAAAATCCTGTGGTCTACATTTCCCAGCTTTAACGAGTTTGTATAGATATTGCGAGCTAAAAACAAGTTTCCGATAACATTTTGACAAACAATGGATATACTACTCAAAGATTAAAAGTATATCGTCATTAAACTATAAGCGTAAAATGACGATTGGTAACGTTGAAAAGTATCATATTTGTACCTATTTAGCTTAATGAAAAGAAGCAATAAAATAAGACAGAACAAATATCCGAAAGGTTTCAACTGAAGTTCCTTCAAGCTGTGAATTTTCACAAAAAACGACTTTAGTGAGGACTTTGGTGTGATTAACACCCAGCAATTTTTTATCTCTATTTGAATTATATTCCATAGAATAACTACCACTTAGGACATGATCGGTGGTTCAGTTTATTAAATATGTCTAACATTCCATCGAAACAAATAAGCAAATGTGCTGAAAAATATATAAACATCTAAAAAAGAAATGACATATGATGTTTGATCATTTAATTGAACAAACGCAGAATAGAACTCTGAGAATAATTTTGGATTTTTCAATTTCACTGGCTGGGAGTTTCACAAATGTAACTTCATTATTTAATGTTTTCTATAAACTCGAAGCTCAATTATTGCAAATTTTTTCATTCAAGTTAGGGCGAAAGTTCTTGTAAAACACAAACGTGAGGGGAGGCTAATGAAACTAACTAATGAAACCAAAAGTTGGAAGTGCTATGTTCGAGATATTGTCATATCACTCAGTCGCCGGAGAACGTAGCTTAAACCAGCGATGCAATAACAGGACGATGCTAAGCTATTCCTATGCACCCCAACCTGGATAACTAGAAAAACAAGACCAGAGTCAGCAAAGAAAATATGTAATTCCGCAAGCAGCCTAGAAGGATGAATAATAATCACTCGACTCGTAAGTAAAATATACAGCGCAGAAATGTCCGTTAAAAGCGTCACAAAATAGCGTACTAAAAGGGGAAACGAATCAAAGATGTTTAGATCCTTCCAGGTGGGGATCACAAGCTGAAGGTAATAATGGGCTCCTTTAGTTCGACAATCAGGAATTTAAATTTCCACAATTCAATTACAAAAATGAGACGTTTACCAAGTGATTTCTGGTGATCTAGAATACCCAACAGCAAGTCTTAGACTTTTGGAGCGAATTTTATTCAACCATATGGATAAATAGCATTTCGGCGTCATAGCTGATGTAGTTCGTGACGAAAACCCTAACTCTAGTTCCTAACCCTAACTTCTAACTCTCAATCCTAATCCTAATCTATAACCCTTTTTGACTCTAGTAAGTAGATGACTTTTCTCAAGGTCAGTTTAGAGTCACTCTACGGTCGTCCATAACTTAAAGTCTCATCAGTTATTTTTGCCTTGGCTAATATTATATAGTTCATATTGTCCCTATCCATAGATAGTAATACAGTATTGGTTGAATTATTAAAGGTGGCATTATATATCCTCATATGGCCTCCAAATGTGTTACGTCTTAGTTTGAACTTGTCATTCAATTTTTTTCTAATGAATAATTATCGAACACAAATGAACTGAAACAATCAGCAATCATCAGTATTTAAGCTACTATTGGACAATACCAAATCAATTAATAAATTCACACTTTCTTCCAATCAGTTTCAGGATTAAATTTGTTGTCTGATTGGATGGTTTTAAATATATCGATCTAGGAAAGGAAATAGTTTTTCCGATTAAATTTGCGGAATTTTAGTCACAGCCAAAAATAGACAATTCTTACTGATTATCCGTTAAAGAAATGAAGATAATACTTTACACCTTGATATGTTTTATTTGTGGCTTTACCTTGTTTCTATGCTTAATATTTCACCAATGGTTATCATTTTCTGTTGTCAATAGCCCAATGTTCCGCCCTAGAATTGATTCGGAACTTGCATTATTCATTACAAATGAATTATCTCGACTATTAAATCCAGACATTCCAACAGTGGAAGATGTCGGTGATACTGTAGAGAGAGCTTGGTTTAAGCATGAAAAAGAATTTTGCCTAAAAGGTATGTTTTGTTTTTGGTAATTTAATGCTCTGATCACAAGATTATCTTTCAGTTGTGTGATTGGTAGAGATTACGTGAAATTAGTGATGGACTGGAAACAGCAGGAAAATCTTCAAGAGCTTTATCTTCAAATGTAACTAGTATCCACAAGTCTCCTCACCGAACAATAATCCGATACTCACTTATGAATAACCTCAAGACAAATTTACTGAATTACTAGAGTTTTAGTGAAAGATCGAGTTTATCAATGTCAGGCATGAGGAAGTCACTCAGTATCAATATCGGTCTTTGACCACACCACATCAGTAATCGACTAAAATTGAGAATGTGAACAGTTTTATCCCTGTTCTATCTCTCGATGATATCGTTCACGTTTATGGGGCTTGAATGTTTTAAGTTCTCATGAGGTCTTGGAGGGGGATCAGGAAGAGTTCCAATCTAAGGTGGAAACCATTATTTTATACCCTCATTCCCCAGTTTTCCAACCAATATCAAGTTCGTGGTGAAAGTTATCTTTATATCTAGTAAAACTTTAACAAATCACATTGCAAAGTGAGAAAAACGTCTAAATATTTTTCGATCAGCTTTGTTTCCAACTAGAGGAAACTTGCTATCAATTTAGTATATCAAGCTATTGACCAACCAAACTATTACACAAGAAATATAGCTTATTAGTTCGAATAAATAATCTTTTTACGGTTTTTTTTGTTGCTCACTAGTTTTGAATGGTACTCATCAGTTGTTCAACAGTGAGGGATGTCGAAATAGTTGTCTTATTTCAAATCAACCATATACTCGACGTAATGTCATTATTATACCATATCGAAATCGTGCAGAACACTTGATGAAATTAATTCCACGTCTGGTTGAATTACTGACAAAACAGAATCTATGTTATTTGTTAATTGTTTCTGAACAGGTATGTTTCTGAATAAGTAATTATCATTATTATTTAAATAATACTAATAATCTTATTACTTATTGAGCCATGCCAGTTTGATGTGATACCCCTGTTTCAGTAACAACCAGTAACCGTATGATTTCATAAACTTTCATACAGGAGTATCGTTAAAACGATCCAAAGTTATTTAGTACCATATAATTTTATTTTAAAATCGAAATTGTCCTTTATGATGAGAACATTATCTTTTGAATTCAGACTTGATGATTGTATGCAAACCTTTATTATCATAAGGACTGCATTGTGCCAATAACTGTTTTCGAATATTAAAGTAAACATTTATGTAGATATGTCAGTGATAAGTTATTTTTTATCACAAACTACTTGCAATTAAAGAACTACTAGAAACCACGAAGTACTGAGCAGCTCTCTTGTTTGAAACCAACACTCTCTAGTAATGAGCACTAATAACCACACAGGTGTTTGAGACCAAGATTCTCTGTCTTTGTGCAAGGGAACAGGACAGAACAAAAATGAAATGAGTATCCTAAGATTTTATTCATAGTAATAGTCTGATAGTATTCAGGTGCAGAGACCTAATTAACTTCTAGTTTCCAGTGAGTCTTGTGGAGTCGAATATTCGTTTTCACTTGAGTTTGATTTATCAAGAGTTTATCTCAAAGCTAAGAGTGAATCCAATTCTCATTATCCCACATACACTTTATTAGATTTTAAATTATAAAATTCTCTTAAATTGTTTATTTCTACATTGTATTCTCTAATAAAAATTTTGAGGTTTGCATTTACTACTGGTTGTCTGTCATATCTGAACCTATTCGAACCATTCGTTTCCACTATCTTCTGAAAATAATTATCCCTCTTCACAGATTGATCAACAGCCATTTAATAAGGGAATAGTCATGAATACTGCATTTGTGGAAGCATTGAATTGGTTGCCGTTTCATTGTGCAATATTTCATGATGTTGATCTAATACCAATGAACAATGAAGTTGATTATACATGCTCAATCTATCCTAAACATATCAGTGTAAGCGTAGATAAATTTCAAAACAGGTACCTACTGTTGCTATTATTATTCTCACTATTATTATTATTATTATTATTATTATTATTATTATTATTATTATTATTATTATTTATCCTCTAACTGACTGAATGGGCCGTGGAAACTTGAACCGATATACACATACCAGGTTCTAGTTTACGTATGACTGGGTGAATTGATTGATTAATAAAGATTTTATCAGAATCAATGACAATTATTCACTACAAACACAGGTTGAGATAGACAAAGAGGTTTTATACTCTACAGAACCAATCATTATTACACATGCTTTTTCATTCAACAGTTATCAAGTTGTCAGCTGATACCAATCAACTTTCCGTACTGTATATCAACTATAAAACAAGAAAAATGATTGAATGAAGAAAAAACCTTTACCATATAAAATTAGTTCATTATTTATGGCGCATATAGTTATACCTGTCTTCACCCACCGTGTGTCCTCTTGAAGTTGTCATCGGTGAATATACAATTATAAATCAATTATATGATTTATAAAGATCTGTTCAATTTTGAAGTAATTTAAAACTATGGACTGATATTCAAACACCTACGACCACATACAAATGCATATCGCTGTGAAGTTTTCAATAGTCTTTCAGCAAAACAATTTAGGATATAATCTGTCTTTTAAATTGAAAACTCACCTACAATCAACTCAAGACATTACTTAATTCGAATGTTTTAAATAATTCAAAAATTGTGTATTTTCTCGGCTAAGTCCTCGTTTTGTTTTGTTTTATATTTTTTTGAAAAGGCTCCCTTACATTGAACTAATTGGTGGTGTTTTATCCATTCCACTTAAAGCCTTTCTTCGTGTCAATGGGTATTCTAATTTATTTTGGGGTTGGGGTGCAGAGGACGATGATGTGTATGAGAGGTGAGTGCTTTATATTCAGATCAATAATTCATTATGCTTAGTCATTGTATGTGTTTGTACGTAAGAACGAGTTTTTTACAAATTAAATACAATTGCGATTGGTTACATTAATAAAACATAGATGAGTAATGTATACAAGTCTGGTTGTATAAGCAGTTAAACCTCTTGAATTTTCTGTATTAAATGGGTCAACTTACAAATGATGATGCGGATCTTCTTGTTGTTACGATTCATATACATAGTTAACTCAATAACTCAAGCTAACATAGATTCAAGGTTATCTACCAGATTTACTGAAGTACCAGCAATGAGACATTTAATTCAATTATGATAGAATCAACTAGGGGCTGGAGACTAACATGAGATTTTCCAAATTTCATAGGTCTACATGTGATTCAATAGTGGTTTAACATTGATCGATTCATGATCTTAATCAAGAAATCAACAATCTCCACAACCTTATACACCGATAAAGAGAAAAGAAACGTATTCATTATGATGAATGATATATTGTCAAAACATTGTGTTAAATGAAAAAACCTTATTGATGCTGTTATGAGTTATTTGAAATAATACATCAACCAGACAAACGTATGTGCAAATGCATCGTAATTCGACTGTTATACATAAATTCATGAAGATTCAATAATTTCCTTAAGAAATGGAATACAACTTAATGATAAATTTTAAAATTTTAATTTTCTGTTTTATTTCATGGTATACTGCTTTTATTCAGCTATTAAAATATTTTTTTACAGGCTTATGATAAATGAAATTCCTGTCATACGTCCTGATCCAAATGTAGCACAATTCACAATGCTCAAACATAAACCAAGTCTTGCATTTCATTCAGCCTTAAGGTATGTTTTAAATATTAGCATGAAATTAAGTATTTTTGTCAATGAACGAACGCAAAGCATAAATCACTCTATTCATGAACAAATTAATACAGTGTTCATCTTAAAAGTCCAATTACTTTACGATCTACAATGAATCAACCACATGATCCACCCTTAAGTCTAACTTCCAACGAATGGTTAACCCAACTAAAATGGGTAAACAGGACAGTTCTATTACGAAGTTATATTGTTCATCAATAATACCTTTTCTGTATATATAGATATTCGATAGTACTAATGTAAATTTGGATCTTTTAGCACATCAAATGATTTTCCCTTCTACCGTAATTTTACATTTGTATTTCTATCGACAGAGCATTTTACATTATAGCTGATGTCATTTCGTGATAAAAAAACCAAACTCTGGATCCTTAATTCTAGCCCAAAGTGTCTAACCGTAACTAGAACCAATATAGAAACTCTTAAAAACTTGTTTCAGTCTTTGAAAGGGTTCGAGGATATGGATAAGGTATATCCATTATGATGAGTTTATATCACTATCTTCGATTTATGGGCAGAATAACTTGTAGAAGGTAATAATAGACTTGATAGTTGTGTACTATCCGTTTACATTTTGCAATATTATTTTCTCACTCACAGACTATCCATCTATAAAGGCTGCCCTGCGATTGTTTGGAAACTATCTGGAAAGTCATCACGGTTATTTTAAACTCGTCTCTACACAATATTGTCACCGATTTTAGACTCGTTATAAATTTGGCGCATGAGAGTGGGAATTTACATTGTAGAATAAAATAATTCAAGATTTTAATGGTATACTTCGTAATATATTGTATGCATATGTCAAAAATTATTCTCATTTTGGTAAATTACTACAAATCATTTTCATGTAATACTTTCTATTTCATCTCAGAACTCAAATATTATCCTTCACAAAAGTCAGATATCGTCTTGATGGAATCAATAGTTTAAATTACACGCTTGTTAAATCACAAATAAAATTATATAATCAATTCCACAGTTTAACATATAACGATGAAGTAACTAAAACACATTTTTCACATGAAAACAACACTTTCAGATCAAATTCAAAATTAAATTATCCAATTTTGCATTTAAAAATCGATGTTGGTAAGCCTCCAGTTGAGTTTATTAAGGAAGATAATTCTACATAAGAAAACCAAGTCGGTACGTAGAGAAAAAAATTATTTTTGCAACTTGAATTTTCGTTTGGTTACAAACACAATTATACAATCGAGTAATTAAATGCAAATAATGAACAACAGTGAGACACTGACAAATTACAGATTATGGATGAAAACCGCACGAACTACAGGATCAGTCATTTCTATACTGATCGTAAGTACATATGTGTCGATCCTTTGTCAATCAATAGGATTACAATGAGCCGATAACCGACGAGGCGAGCCAATCGTGATTTAGCCATTTTGACAACATAATGAAGAGTCAACTACTTTTCGGGAGAACGATTGTAAAAAGCCTCCAAACTCATTGGATTTAATCTGCGATGGTGAAATATTACTCATTATTACTGATTATGATGATGATACCTAAGACGTTTATGGCGATGATGACTAGCCTCATGGAACGAATCACGGGATTATTAAAAATAAACATTACTGGTTAATATGCATAATTCATAGAATTTGTTCCTTAGTCAAAATTAAAGCAAGAATAGCTACATTTATTGTCGTTCTCGCTTTCATTAAAAAATATCTACACATTAAAATAAGAAAAAACCAAGAAATACAAGTGCACAATATTTAGTGTAATGAAGCATAAGTGTATTTCATGCACGATTTCATGTTAGGTATCCTTTTCTTTTTGGCTCAAGATTTTATGCAACGTAACGAACATGAATATCAAAGTATTCACTACATAATAAATTGTGGAGTCTTATCAACATTGAAGTAATTATCAATTTCCAGGACATTTGGTTGCTTTTCATTTAGTTTAATTTGTTCTTAAATTTCGATTAGTGGAATCAAGTTACATGAAACTGTGAAATGAGGTCCTATTTTGTAGATCCTATATATATATATATATATATATATATATATATATATATATATATATATATATATATATATATATATAGTTTCAAATCGCACTTTGCAATACCTTTGCGAGTATCTACCTCATAAATTAAGCGATATATTTGTACCACTGATGTTTCATGAACCGATTGTCTTTGATAAATGTAAACCATTATCATAAACCAAACTGGTGAATAAATTGTCCTGATTTTATGATATGTCAATTGATATTTCCGTGTGCCCATACAAACCGAGAGATGCATAAAAGTTATCTTGATAATCAGTCTCCCAAGCTCTCAGTACTCAATCATATCATTTGATGTAGTGTCAGAGAAGGGGCATATACTTATCGATAAGGTTTGATGAGAAGTAAAGTACTTTGTTATTGTATTTGATACTGGTGGCAAAAATGCCATAACTTGTACATATATGTCAACCCTCATGAAGAACTAAATACATAGAAGAAAACATCTCTAACACAATCCTAGATATTATGGATACTGAAGATAATAATCAACAAAATACTAGAAATTTTGCTGCCATATGGTCAAAATCACTTAAAGATTATTTGCATCGTGACAGTTATTGCTCGCGGTTCGATAATTTACGTTAAAACCATGAGGGTACTAAATCTTAGTAGGTCAGTTTCATTTTAATCGGAATAAAATGTTGAGTTATATTCAAGTTACGACACCTAGCAGAAGTAAATAATTAAAAAAATGTTACGATAAAGAACATGTAAAGTGAGCAGCTATTCTTTCGTGAGTTTACGTGTTTTTGATGGACAATTATTTCATGGTATCTTTATAAAATCCCAGTCTTTTAATTAATTAACCGTTACTATGTGATCACCGTTCACGTAAATTACAGTTTTTAATCATTCTGATGTTTTGACTGGGAATTCGCATGACCTGTCAATGGTGCAAACAAGTACGCTAACGTATGTGATGGATTCAACGTCAATATTATCGACAAAACAAAAATAAGATAACCTATGTTTATGTTATTTGTGACATTCACTCTCTAAACTCTGTTATTCATATTGGAGTTTAGTGATTGACTTGTGAACCACTTGATCAGTTCTCTAACATCTGAGCTATTACTGATTATCAACCCTATATCGATAACAGTCTGCTACCACAGATTACAGTAAATAGTTTGGTGACAGGCTAATCCCTTCATCATATCATTTACATATGATTGATACAAGCCGTAATTAGGTAATGTGATCAAATGTTAACAATACCTCTTGTTTTGTAAACAGTTAGGTGTAGTACTAGATAACTGAAATGAAGCTAATAATAGTCATTAAGAGTCTAAACAATTTATTCATCGTTACGCGGTTAACGGGATTTCGGCGAGCAGATGAAGTTGATTTTAATTTCAATTCTGTGTAGCATGTTCGAGTAGATTACACTAATAACCAAGTGTATTAACAGTCAAAATATTTTGAAAAATAACCTGAAATCTGGAAAATCAATATAGCATTATTCGTAACTAAAAAAATGACCAAAATCATTTGGGAATTTTAGAATTTCATTACGCTAATAATCAACAAACAAACAATCGCTCTACTAAGAAAAGCTAGGAAGTTAACAAAGGACAGCAATTAAATTACTGTAAAAATGGAGAAAATACTGGGATAAGAACAACTGCTTAACATACATAACAAAAACAAATAGTTGAGGCTACACATCAAGATTTATCGTCATTTTGATGTCGAACTCCATTGATTTATTTTACAGACATATAACCCCATCTTCCTAATTACACTCAGAAATCATTCTGTATAGACGATTGTTTTCGTGATACTTACCGTCCAGTATTCATCTTATTTGTGACAATAACGCTTATTCTACAGTAACTAACGGTTTATTCCTTATACCATGAAGGTAGAAATAGAATAAAGGAGAGTTTTAATACACTTTTTACTTGTTTATTCAAAATAGATCTACGTAGTAGAATACAATAGGTTTATTAAGTATATTCAGTCAGGAATCGAGTTCTGAATCCCAACCTCCATAGCACAAGGACAACAAACACTAGTATAGAATGTCTGGACCAAATAAAATAAGTCTTACTTACGAGCAATAATCCCAAATACTAACCAGTCAACGTTATTTGTAGATTTATGTCATTATATAGTAAAAGGTATATTTAAATATGGGATACAGCCTCAATATAACTTCCTAATAAAACACGTTTTATATTAAGTAGTTAAGGGATACATAAAGTTGTCCTCATCTCATAAACTTTGTGTTAAGGATTTTTAAAACGGTACAGAGTTATAAATGCTCAAATCTATGATGAAGCATATGAGATATCTTTTTAACTACTTCCAACCCCTGACAGATACAGTTACTTCTTACTTACTGACAATTACATACAACCCAATATATTGTCAAACTACTTACTTCGGTGGTAACACGTCTAAATTTGACCAACTAAAGTACGAGACAATCATTTAATGATTGATTAGTCGAATTTGACCTATGTTCAGCAGTTATCCACCAAAGACAATAGAAAATGGTCATGCAATATTGTGGATTGATTGAGGTTAGGCATTAACACCATTAAAGGTCAGTTCAGTAATTCAAAGGTTAAGCATTCATGTGGGAAACCAAATGACCTGGGATCATGAATACACACTGCTGAAGAGTACCACACTAGGATGAAACGACCGCCCAGCACTTTCAGGTTTTTAATGGTGACTTAACTTACATCGATTTATGAAACTAAATACAAATTAAGTATTGGTTTTATTTCACAAATTAGTGATAAAAATAAGCAAAAGAATACAGTAAAATATCCAAGAAGTTAATTCATTACATGAAATAACTAGTTTTGTGAAAAGATATACATGGTAAGTAGAATAATTGTTTTGGAGTGTTAAGGTGTAGTTCGAAATATCTTTGAAAAAATGGTAGTGATGAAGTTGGCAATCAGTTAAATTATTAGAAATTGGAACTACGAACAGATGTAAATGCAATCCTACATAAAAACAGAATCACCTGTTGGCCTCCTAATAAAAACAATGGGAAGAGACAACAGCCTATCAAAATCCTTTACTGAACAGCAGTTGTGGTCATTGTACTCACTGATGCATCTACATAAGATCGACTATTCTCTGAATTCAATTCATTACTTGTTGAATTTAACCAAATTCTCGGTATCCAAAATGCTTCTGTTTCAATACGGTAAGCCATTTCAGATAATTGTTCCAATGCCACTGGTAAATCATCATTAATTAAAACAAAATCCCATAAATGGCCATGCGTTACTTCGAGACGAGATGCTGTTTGAATCATTTCATGAAAGTGTGTTTCCTGTATAAATAATAAACAAAATAGTCAATATTAACTCAAGTAATTTATTCATAAAACTAGTGTTTTGCTAAATCACTACATCGTTCCATACAACAATCAACCAACGATTTGACTGACCTTTCTAAAAGAAACTCCCGATTCAAATCCAAATATAATAGTTACCATTATCATGTTATCTAAACAATAATCCTGACTGACTTCCATCATTCAATTTCCAACTTGACCTCCACGTTGAGTGATTCTGCTTCATGGTGTATTTCAATAAATGTTAGGTATTTAGAGATAACTAACAAGAAACCCTTAGTTTAGGTTTTATGATAATTGATATTCATCAGGAGGGAGCGTCTGGAATCTTCGAGACAATATACACCCCCAGTTAGATATGAAGTATTACCACCAAATGTCGAATTTGAGGGCGTTACCACTGAATTCGTTCACGAATGAAAATTATACATGGCAATAATTACAGCCGACTGAATAATTTCGTGTGTAAATTTCATTTTAGAAAACGTTCAGTATCTTAATTAGTATAATGTTATCATCTCTGGCTGTAGCATGGGGTTTGAAATTCACGAAGATATCAGTTTCTGTAAGATCATAACTGTTATATCCTAGCAAAGATTAAATTACGAGTAACTATTAATGGGCTAAGATTATGTATATATAGTTATTGTTATTGTATAACTATTCAGTAACTAGATTGCGTATATCTACATTCACCTTATTATAAGTTTCATTTCGACTTATAGATTATTATTATACGATTTGCTGTTTTTAAGTTATGTTCAGCCTATTGATTATAGTCACCCACACACAGCCACTTTTGGGCTTGATCTTGTATAAATGTTATTTCCTATTTTATGGTGTGATGCGGTCTGTTTAGCTGGTATTTAAACCAAGTATGTTTGAGATAAATGATTCGCATGGTAGAATCTGTTTGTTGGCGTTCTGGACTGAGCTGGACGGGCTAGACGAACAAGGGACCAATAGGACGCTAGGCTGCTCATATCAGTCGAACGTCATTGGTTTGGCATAGTACTGAGATTGAATAAGTCATATTTCGATTGGCGGATAAATCATGTGATAACTAGCCGGCCTTAAAGTCACAGCAACAACTTTGTTATCTTAATATGAGTGTTATTCATTATTATTATTATTATTAATATTATCATCTCCCTCTTCCTATTTATACTCTTTTAAAAACCTGTAATAGTTTACTTTCTTCTTGTCTCCTTTAAATCACCTTGTGTGTATTGATCTTTGTTTGTCTTGAACAATTTATCGATTTTTTAAACATCGTGCCTAATTTTCTTCCGAAATAGTGATATATTAGTTTTCAATCCATTTTATTTGCTATGGTTTATATTATTACTGTCATTATTGTTTATACGGTTCAAGGAAACGTTTTTTCTTTGATTGTACCTTCGACAGTGAAAACGACATGAGGATTTATCAATTACTAAATATTTTTCGGTTCCCAATAGTTCTTCGGCTGATATTAATTCGTGCTGAAAATTAATTTATTGCTAAAAATAAATACGAAAAGATAATAATAGTAGTAATAATAATAATAGTAATTCACTTACAGCCAATGACATTTTTTTTTGTATCTCCGTAGCCAGTATATTATCCAAAGACGATGATGCTGATAATGATGGCGCTGAGGACATTGTGTTTTTCTTCTCTTGTCCCAATTCACCGGAGACTTTCCTCCATTGTTGACAGTTCCTTACAGGTGTAAAACAACCACTAATAGTACGATTAGTTAAATGTGGCGTAGTTGGTACAGAATGTGTTGGTGATAATTCCACAGTTGAAGTTGTATCATTTATTGTTGGTGTATTACAATTACTGCTTTTATGATTATATATTTGTCGTGTTTCCAGCAAAACATCGAACGTTGGTGGTTTAACAAAAATTATAAATGGTTTCAATGTTGATGTCCTAAGTGACATTAAATTCTAAAAATAGACCAAAATGCATAACTTAAGTAGGCCAAAAATCTGAAGATTAAGTTTTTATTCCTTGCTTATTTTCAACACACCGAGAAGAAATATAACCCCTACAAGCTCTTTTCTGAATGTGTTACGAAGCTCATATCACCTCATCACACAACTTATCAGATTATCAGTAATTTATTGATAATGAACGGTTTAAGTGGCGACTAAATTAACCAATCAGAAATTGATAACATCAAATATAATGTTATTCTCTTCAGTTTGTGACAATAGCGGTCAAAACAACCAGGAATAGATTTATATTATATTGTTGTTAATTTTTGAAAAATAAACTGTAAGTGCATTAACGATGTAGAACTGGAGCTAAAAATTCAAAGGTTATTTCACCTTTAATCCAGTTCGTATTGGTCGTTTGAATCTTACCATTGATGTTTAGGATTGCAATCGATCAGTCTCTTATTGACATATATGTATCTGTAAGGATTGCCTCGATATTACCTTAAATCACAAGCATCATAAGCAGAGATGGATAGTAACTAGCAGTGGAATCCAGGACGCGCGTTTCGTCCTGTATAGGACTCGTCAGCTGGTTCGAATCCCGGAGTGAACATCACCTCTGGGATGCAGGTGCATCTGGCGAAACGCGCGTCCTAGATCCCACTGCTGGCCACCATCCATCTCTGCTTATAATGCTCGTGACTTCAGGCAATATCGAGGCAGTCCTCACAGATGCATATATAACAATAAGAGACTGATCAACTGCAATCCTAAACATCAATGGGAAGATTCAAATAAACAATACAAAGTGAATTTAAACTTCGATCCATTGCACAAAATAGTGCTTATCTGAACTAAGTAACTAAGTGGATAACATGGAGGCGTTTGAAGCGGACGGTACGGAGTTCGAGTCCCAGAGTGAATATCCACTCTGAGATGCAGGTACATCCAGCTGACGAGCCCTAAATTAGATGAAAGGCGCGTCATGGATTCCACTGCTAGTCACCGTTCTCCTCTGGTTATTTCACTTTATTCATCTGTTCAATAGTTCAATAGTTCAAAAGTTACTACTGATCGAAAACAGTACTCTGAGATCACGTGGAAAGTATACTAATCTGAATTATTCAATTCAATCCTAGCGGGTGACATGTTGAATTTCAATTAATTTTAAAAATGAAGAATACTGCTGGTGAAACATTTTATAGAGCTTGATTTCTAATCATTCACTTTACTCAATTTACAATTCAATTTTCAGTTCATTAGTATGAAAAAAAGCAATTCCGAAATTCTTGAGCGTTCTATGCATCCTCAATATGAAGACAAATTCGAATTACTACTGAGTAGTTCACAATTAAAAAGCAAAGCCAGAATATTCAGGTCTTCAGTAAACATGATAATGTTCACGTCATTGATATGATTCACCAATTAAATTTACTTTGTAAGAAAAACTACGCCCCAAAAATATATACCAAAACCCTGAGAAATCCGTCAGTCCACATGACTCTCCGATCTAACTATACTGTGAAAAAGTAATCCATGTAACAATATGCTTTAAGATGAAAACAAATCAACCAAAAGTCTAGGATTTATAAATCTAAAAGATGCTAATTTTCCAAAAAATTGCTTATTGCAAATAAAAACCTACACGATAATCTGCTTCAAAAATTGCCACTTGACCAGCTTGAATAATTTCTAATACTGCATCTAAACATAATCCTGTCATACAATTTTTTGACGTCTCACAAGGATCTATAAGGCTAGACAAGATTTTTCAGAAAGAAGAAAGTGATAGACATTGGACTGTAAGTGATTTTTGACAATTAAATCACCCAGAGGAATTATTAGTAAAATTAATATATCACGATATCTATTTTGGCTGAAAATTTGATTAGATAGTTGAGGAATGTGAGTAAATAATTAATTTACGTTGGCACATGGATTTCTTAAGGAAATACTTTGAAATTTCCTAGCATTTATGTATTGGTTAAGTACTTTAAACGGTTTTCATGTGTGTCATGTGTCACTCTATTCCGGACCTGTCCCTCAATCCTATCGTTGATATCCACATCAATATACGAACCCGATACCTGTCATTTCAAAGCCAAATCAATTCAACAGTAGGAATATAAGCCCTTGCAATCAATAACAAATAACAAACCCTTTGTACAGATAGATGACTATCAGGGCTTTGCAATTCAAACTAATGGGTACCATTTTAAAGGCTCAGTAGGAATCCCAACACCTGGATAAAAACAGATGCGTCTAGATCACGACTTCCAAATTAGATGGAACATGTATCCTTAATTTCATTTAAGGCATCTACTCAAAAATTTATAACGAAAGGGAGAAAATTTTGCTTTGAATATTTATTGTCATCTATCTTTGAAGTCTCTTAGACGAATCTATGACAACAACAGTTATATATAACATATTCTATGAAAGATGTAATCTTGTTACTTTGAGGAAATTAAACTATAAATCCAAGTTTTCGTAATATTCACAGTATGAAATGAAAATGACAATTAAATGGGACACAATGGTGAGACTTTAAAAGTTTTGTTCAATCATTACAATAATTAAAAAGACATGCATATTATTGTGTATTATTTGATCGAGACTAAGACTATATATCCTCTCATTGTAGGCACAACAGTAGATAATTTACAAATAATTCATCATCACAAATGAATGTCACCTATAAAGCTATTAAAAACCTAGTTAAAAGTAGGACAGCTACTGATCAGTTACATTGGTTGGATATCACACCTCATATAATTGAAGTTGAGAATGTACATCATTGGATAGAGATTCAGAGACTAATACTTACAGCATTCTCGTCATAAAACACAAAAGATTTTGTGTGAAATCCCGGGTTTATGTGTTGCTGATAAGTGTTGAATTGTCACAAACTAGAAACATCTATTTAGCGGTCTCTAGTTTTCCGGAATTCTCAACTAATATTAATTAGTGACAAAAACTTTTTCTCAATTTAATGAAATCTACAGAGTTCGCCTTATCAAAAATGTTTTTTTCCTTAATGCAAAGTTTTAAAGAAAGCAAACTAACCAATCAGCATCCATGAATGTATTGAATTCGTCTTTAGTTACAAATAAATAATCGACACCATGAACTTCTCCAGATTTTGGTTCTTGTGTGGTTACTTGTGTATTTTTATGTGAAAAACAAACAGCTGATTTAATTCATTGTAGTGGATAATATACATAAAACATTACTCCACATTAATATATAGAAAATAAATTCAATAAACAAGTACGGTTTATTTTTATTTTATTTTTTAGTAGAAGCCAATATGCTATGTGGTTGGTGGCAATCGGAAGGAAGCGCTGATGGACATGGCTTCCATGTTAGCCATCATTCGGATTACATAAACATGACATTTGTTACTACTCAGTGATCAATCTATAAAAATATCTCGATTCTACAGGAGAACAACCGTAACCTGAATAACTCAGTGTTAACCTTCCAAATTTAACATTAGGCGAAACGGGTTTGAGCAGTACAGAGAACATCATTTCCACCAGTGTTCCAACTTTACTTTGATGACGAGTCCCAATAAATGTCAAGGGCTTACTGTAGATTGGCCCTAATCTCTTAAAATCCAGGCATATTTTACGTAATGTCAAATCACTTAAACTGACCGCCACATTGTAATTTATTCAGTTAAAGTTAATTAATACCAACAATCAGATAAACGTGACGCTGAATACTGTTCGACAATAAAAAATTCTTAGCAAAATTTAATTGAGTAACAAAAAGAAACTTTAGAAGAAAAGCACATCGGATAATAACCTTAACACTAAGAAAGTAGGGTAAATCTAATCCTAATGCTTCTATATTCAGTACATCTATTATTCACTTGTGCAGTCTACTTAAAACACCTGCTGTTTCTCAAGTTCTCTAAGAATTTCCATCTGAATACACCTAGATTTCTGTCAATACTAATATTCTTACTGTAAATAAGATTTTATGATTACTATGCTATGGTAATAAATGCATGAACACAGATGATTACCTCAATAATCGCTTCTTGGAAAAATCTTTCATTATTATCTTTAAAATCTCTTTTACGTAATTTATAAACTGAAGTGATCAATTTTTCTTATTAAACTATAAAGATATTAAAAGCAATTACATTTTGGTTGTTCACAAAATCAAGTAGGAATGTAAATAAATCCGTTTTTCTTCCCTCAATAAAATGAATGTAAAGTAGATTTAAAATTCCACTCTATACACCAAAGTTTATAACATTTTTTTATGAATATACATTTTATGAATTCATTTATCAATCTAAAATATCTCAACACTTAAGCCAGTACTACTCCTGTTTACCGTAGATGAAATTAGTATGAACTTTAAAATAGAGTTAAATTTTTGATAAAATGAGCAAATTTACAAATAAGCACTATATTACTATATTACTCACTTCTGATTGGTTCTCGAAAATGTTCAGGATCTGTACTAATTAATTGACGAATTAATTCGGACTTTCCTACACCACTTGGTCCTATAGTCGAATAGAAGATATAAGATTTGCACAATTTAAAATACCGCTTGACTTCTTTAGAAATCCAAAAGATATACGAATTAAGCTACATAAAACTCTGACGAAACTTGAGAAGACATGTCAAGAGTTTCATCAGATTTGAGATTTACTGTTGGGGAGGTCCAGAAAACTCCTCGAAAAAAGCCGAAAAAGGCTCCGAAACATCGAGAAGCATCTTGTCCAATCAGCATTCACTAGACATATTGCCAGAAACATTTAGAAAGTGAAAAGTCACGTGTCCAGTTTCTGATTGGATGGTACCTATACTGCTACTATGTTTAGTAGCGGTTCAGAATCTTCGGGAAACCCAACACCATCTAAAATACTATAAGAAACCCAGATTTTCTGTACATAAACGAACCTTTGGAGTGGAATTTTTCTTCCATATTTCGCGCCTTTTCTTTAGTGCTCAAGTCGCTGTGTAGATCTAGCCTGGGGGTTACTAAAAGAGCTTAGGAACCGAATCTAGCACTCAATTAGAAGACGTATCATTTACGTACGTAGCTAATGCACTAAATAAAATACCTCTTGTTAAATTTATCACTTGTTTCAGTATATGCCGCAGAGACTGCTAAGATAACTGAAAATCTGGACGAACATCTATCTAATATACTGATGAAAATATCGAATGTCACCAGTACCGTGTGCTTTCCGACTGCTGATTCACCATCCAGTTGATTGCCGACGTACTAAATTTAGAAAATGACCATACACACGTTTCTAACAAAATACTCGGGCTCGAAGAAACTTCTTAAAACGATCAGACAGCCAAGCAACCTGATTTCTGAGAACTTCCATTGGTGTTTTAAATGACGGAAAGAGAAATGAGCCAAGTTCATTACAATAAATGGAAGGTGGTTTGAGCGTAACGAAATTGATGTACCTTTAAGGTTCTATGATCTCGGTTAGCCTATTTACTGGTCAGATAGAACTCCCATGTCAGTGGAATACAAAGTCTGATAAACAAAACTACTATTACTATCTTCCTTGAAAAATGAAATAATTGTTCAACTTTCTGTACACTGATCAGATCATTGATCACTAATTATTGTTATGTGATTTTTAAAGTATTCACTCTATTCTATAGGACTTCACAGAGTTCAATTTTTACATATAGCTACATTTAATAAGTTGTCAATGACGTCCACCAGAACAAACAGGTTTAAAATCACTCAACATCTATACTCAGTTATTTATAGATAAATGTTGAAAGTATCGACTTTTTTAAATATTTCATATAGTTTTATAAAGCAAGATGAATTATATGTTATACGTACTATGTACTGTCATGTATTATTCTGTCATCAATGAATGACTGTTGTTATGTCAAAAGGAAACAAAACAGGGGTTAAATTCATAATTGTGTTCAGTACAATGACACTGGGTAACGTGGATTCGAGTGTCTTTGGGGTAGGGGGCGACAATTCCCTCGATATTATAGATACACCTGACTTCGACCACCTAGTATCAATTACCTCATTCGTTTAATGCATAATGATTACTTCCTTATATAAAATGTAAAAGAAACACTAAATCGATAAAAATAAGAGGTACTAATCATGAAACTTACCTACTAAAACAATTGGCCGATAACAACCTTCTTCAGGAAAATAACGTTCTACTTCTTCATATGAAAGAGAATCTTACACATTCAAGCGAAAAGAAATTTTTAAAAAAAATTCTCAAATAAGTCACTCAAGAAAATACTATTACTGAACCAAGCAACTTTGATCAAATTAAAGTGATAATGAAATTAATAGAATATTTGTGCGTGTCTGTCAAATAAACATCGAAGTAAACTGGTCAAAATGATGTCGCGATAAAGTCCTGAATTCCAGTGTTGACATTACTCAGTTAGATTCTGACAAAAATATGCGCTATATATATATATATATATATATACTCAATGACAATTGTTTAATTGTTTCTCAGTTGTTTCAATTGATGTCATTCATCTTTAGTTAAATTAGAAATATGTGGTTTTTGATATAATAAGGCGGCTACAATTTTATTCCTCACGTTATTCGCTGTTTCATTAGTAAGGCAATTCAATATCGGTTCAATTCTAGGCACAAAATCGAAAGGCTATGATTGTGGTCTATTTATAATGAAATTAAGACCCTTTTTAAGCAAAGACATTTCGTGGGTACATAGATTTCTATATGATAAATTAATGATCCATTTGTTAATGTTCAGTGTGCTAAGTTTGTCTCCAGTTTGTTGAACTTTTTGGTTTGATGGGTGTTTCAACATTCTTTCAAACTTTCTAACCTGTCGCTGTTTCGGTGATTGATGGTAAAACTGTTCTGTGTTTAAAGAATTTATTTATATTTCGTCCTATTTTCTTTGGTATGACAAGAGATTAAACGTCATCAACGTTACTAATCCTTGGAGTTAGTGACCCTCAACTTATAGTGGCTTTGTGTATACGTTCTCTCAGAGACGTTCTAGTAGCTGTGATGGCCGCTTTGATAAAACAAACAGATTTTTCATGAGAATTAACCAATTGAGATTTAGGATAAACATTTTGTTTTAAGCATTGTACACCAAAAATTCTGTAATCGTACCAGTTGTACATTTTATTTGATAATTTAATTCAATTACAAAATAATTTATACAAATATCTCTCGATATTTGAACAAATAGCTTGATAGGATTTGGGTGTTGAGTATAGAGAAGACATTATTTAAATTAAGGTGATTCCAAACAAACATAAGTGTATTTTCGTCTCAGTGATATCATAAAATCAACATTAGTGAAAGTTAAAGATCGGCCTCCAAAGGAGGAACAACAGAATGTTGTCTACGAGACCATTTATTATGATTGTAATGCAGCTAATGTGGGAGAAACATCTAGACAGTTGACTGTGAGGTTAAAGGAATATAAACTATGTTTGAAACATTTCCGCAAATCCTCGGTTGATTTGATGAAACATGAGAATAGATTTGAGATAGTTACACGCGTTAGGAACAGGATACAAGATCAACTTCGAAAGGATTAAAATATTTCGGGCAGGGTTTGGCACGCATAAGGAAAGATTTACAGAAGAAGCGTTGCACGTATGGGCTAATAAGAACAGTTTGAACAGAAAACATGGTATTCAACTGGTCACCCCTTGGCAAATGATCGTTGACAAGTAATTGGACCATATCTCTATCCAACCTGTTCAGTTCATATGCACTGTTTGTTCTAAGAGGAATTAGTTTGAATATTTTATCATCACAATTATATATTCGATGGTTCTAGTTTTACATGCATATCAACGTTTGAAAAACATTTTCAATTTGTACTTTATTTTTACTCCTAATAAAAAACTAACTAACATTTATTATCAGCTATTAAGATGGTTGTGTGATATCGTGCATTGATTAATGTTAGACATTAACGCCGTTGGACGCCGGTCTAGTGGTCTAGAAGTTAAGTGTCTGTGGGCGAGGCCCTAGGTCATGAGTTCGGGCCCCGCGTGCGAGATCGTGGATGCGCACTACTGATGAGCCCTATACTGGGGTGAAAAGGCCGTCCGATGCTTCGGGGTTTTCAGTTATGGTTTAACACTGATTGGTTTATGTTCTCAATAAAAACTCAACAATTACCACAACCAAATACTGATATTAATAACTTAAACTTACAAATATACACACAATCACTCATTTGTTTCATATTTTTTATTCTTCACATAATTCACATATAGCTGACTCAAGTTATCCCACTTACTAAAGTCAACATCTGAATATGATTGGATAAGCACAGTATAGATTTGATTTGACTGTTAAACATTATATATTCTTTGATGATTTTTACTTGAATTATTACCCTAAAGACGTCCAGACAAGATTGCTGAACGAACCGTTGGAATTATTTAAATTTCCATCTCTGAAATTATTTAAAATATAATTTTGCATAAATTATATCTTCTCTATACTCGGTGCCCAAATTTTATCAAAATATTCGTATAAATTTGTGTATATTTTACTTATTTATGACAACACAATCAAACTTTATTTGTATTGAATACTTAAGTGAATAAAATTTTATGAGTAACAACTAACTTAAATCATCATGTAAATTTAATTTTTATTTTACTTTTAATACTAATTTGAATCAACTTACCATGAATTTGTGTATCTTGTCCGCCGTTTGTATGCAGTGAATTAAAGTGATACTGCATTTTCCTATTGAAAGGAAAGAAAACATCAATAATTTACATTTTATAGTATGTTTTGTTAATTAATTACTTATCAATTAGTTAGAAGTTAAAAGTCATCATCAAAATTCAGATGACATCTAAATTGTATCACAACTAAGTTGGCTGAACTCAACACTTGGGTCACCAATTTCCCAACTGTGTACATATTCCACTTCCTTGTTTTGGGGTTCTTTCGACTGATTATTTAGAAATGTTAACTTTGTATGCACATGTATGCTATTATCAAAAAAAGTTACCAATTGTTATGATATTGAATACTGCAATTGTAATAGTTTTCTTTACCTGTTCTTTAAAATAACGTGAGACGAATACACAGAAATCTATGAATTTTAAATAATGTGGATGAAAAAAGTAGTTGTAGTAGATAAATCAGTAAGAAATTTCAAAACTGAGGATGAGTAACAGGTACCTGCTGTTGAAAAACATATATTCTTGAAGACTTAAATTTTGAATGTATTTTAAAAAATTCTGCATTGCTTAATTTTTAATATTTAACACTTATTTTCCATATCTACTATCTAAATCATTCTCAACTGATTACTCGAAAATAAATGCTTAGAAAGCATATTCTGACCTAATTTTAAGTTGAGCGGTTTTTCTAATGGGAGCTTCTTTAATGAAAATAGTGAGAAGCCATAACTTTAAATATATAAATGAAAAGGTTTCAAAATTCATTCAAAATGATTTCAAGATCAAAGACATGTAAACTGAATCTTCTGCCTAACTGAAACACAATTTATGCCGGACGAATTCATACATAAAGGTCATTTTCATCACGAACTAATATCAGTTATACAAACCACTGAAAATCTTAAAGCAATTGATTGATGGTTCTTCCAATTCAAGGACTTATCAGCAGCAATTACTTGTAACACTTTGAGATAGATACTTCCCCCTACATTTTAATTGAAAGCAGATTTTTGGAGACAACAAAGTTAGTAGTTTCCCACCACTGACTTTAATTAGTGACTGAAATGGTATGCGTGTTGGCTATAAAAATGAAGGCCGCATGTTTTTTCTAGCAGACCGTTTTGTTTGTGCGTTATCAAGCCATCTATAGCCAGATCAAAAAACCCTCCGCATCTCCTTCTTTTGAGTTTTGCTCCAACGAAAATCAATTTGTGATGGTAATTAACTTTAAATTCACCACAAAATATGCATAAATCTAAGATATCTTAAAAATACCATACTACATATAATTTGATTCATTTTGTTCTTTAAAGTGGTTTTAATATAGTTGAAAACTAATTATCGGTGAGTATAGGCATACAAACAGGTGCATATAATACTTGTTATTTTTTTTCAAAATCAGCTACATAGAAATTACGTATGAATAAATGTTCACTCCAAATATTTATCCCTGTTATGTTACTGCTATAATGGATTCTGGAAAATATATTCACGTAAAATTAAAGGAGCATAAAAAATAATAGAATAAGGGACAAAATCAGTTTGCGTCCATCTATCCACGATTCTTTTCAATTATATGAGTAGTGACATATCGATTTCCATTTATTCGAACCACAAAAAATTTAATCAATATGACACCCACTCATATCCCCACCGATAATCCTGATAGTATTGAACGCTTCCCCATTCAAATTAGGTTACATCCTTTCACTGATGTTAAGTGGCTGGAAGGACTCAACAGAAAACCTTAGGTGCAGGTTTGGTGATAGTTGAGAGTTGTCAGCAAAGGCGATGTAGCCACAGTTTTAAAAGAACTAATGCTTCTTATGGGATACGAACCCATGTTGCTTAGGTCCACAGTCTCAGACGCCACCTCTGAGATATACGAGGCTGGACTGTCCTGTAGGACTGAGATATCCACAGTGATTGATCAATTAGCAATATTCTACATAATTTTCACTCAGTCTTTATTTCTAGTTTAATTTGACAGACTAAGTGATCATATTCCAAATCCTATGATATTTTAATCAGTAGTTTGACAATTATAGTAAACTTCGGGAAGATATTATATGCAATTTTGGAATTTAATTTGATTATTTCTTATACTTCATTAAGTTGATTTCAGCGAGCGTATAATTTATGGACGAACCAATAAGTTGTAAGATAACAGGTCTCGGATTTCGACGCGAAATTCACTCATCCATTAGACTAAATCGAGTTTTGGCAATATAGCTTATGTCAGTTCGTGATAAAAACCCTAAATGTAATTCCTAACCTTAACCATCAACTGAAAATAATAATTCTAATTCCTCACACTGGTTTATAACCCCCATTCGGTCCTCGTTATTAGGTGAAGACTCTCAAGGTCAGTTTAGCGTCACTCAAATTTAGCATCCAAAAATTATGGTCTCACCTTAATTTCTATAAAATGGAACTTGGTGTTTAGTGTTAATATAGACAAGTAGAAACAAAAAGCGGTTACAAATTAGTTAGTTTGACAAGTAACGAAAAGTAAAATACAGCATTTATTGTGAACCAGACAATTTGAAAATCTGTTCTCAATGTGTTGTTCTTTTCTCGACTTACCATTCTCGCATCATTTTACTTGGTATTAGACCAGCTCTACCTAAACTTGGTTGCGTTAAATTATTACCCAGTACAAATGGAACAATCCCACTAAGTGGAAATTCAACCTATTCGAAAGAGATAATAATGAATGAGTTATACTTGAGTTAGGGTTTTCAGCTAATCAAATTTTGGATAACCACCTTATATAGTAATTACCCCAGCCTAACTATTTTTAAATAGATTTTTATCAAATTATTGTCAAATTTGTTGTTAGCTATCATATCTATATCACTCTACATCAACTTCATTGACTACCAGAAAGCATTTGATGGTGTGGACAGGACAACACTATGGAGACTTCTTCAACACTACGGTGTGTCTGAGAGGATAGTCAACATCATTCGGAATCCCTATGATGGTTTAAACTGCAAAATCGTCCATGGAGGACAGCTCACAGGCTCGTTCGAAGTAAAGAACGGTGTCAGGAAAGGTTGCTTACTCTCTGTTAGGTCCCGATAAACATAATGAATGGTAACCTTGGGATCCTTTTATGAACCAATACTAAACGTGTATTTTATCGTATAATTGTTAAATAACTAAACTATTCATATTCATATTTCTCTTATTAAAACTTTATTTTGACCTATGAACCATTATTATACGTTTTACCATTCTTGAATTACGCCCTGTCTATTAGTCACTGTCTCCCACATTCACAGCCACATTTGGTCAAATTTTGTACAAATGTTATTTTCTATTTTATGCTACGTTGTGGTCTGTTTGGTTGGTATATAAACTCAGTATGTTTGAAATATAAGGATTCATATTGCAGAGGCTGAGACTGGTGTTCTGGACTTAACTGGCTGGGCTAGGCGGAAAGCAGGACCGATCAGGACTCTAGGTTGCTCGCACATGTTTTACGCGTCCTTGGTCCGATCGATAATTCGCTGCTTCTGATTGGCGGCTTTAAGCTATAACACTCTCACCCTTTCTCTTTCTCATAGTGATCGACTGGATCATGAAGACTTCAACATCTAAGAGGGAGCATGGGATACAGTAGACAGCTAGGATGCAGCTGGACGACTCAGACTTCGTAGATGATATGGCTCTTCTATCCCAAACGCAACAACAAATGCAGAGGACGACCAGTGTAGCAGCAGCCTCAGAAGCAGTAGATCTCAACATATGCAAAGGGAAAAGCAAGATTCTCCGATACAACACAGCATGGCACCAATCAAATCACACTTGACTGAGCTTTGAAGGGTGTAAAATCTTTACATATCTGGGCAGCATCATTGATGAACACGGTGGATCTGATGCAGATGTGAAGGCTCGGATCGGCAAAGCAAGAGCAGCATATCTATAACTAAAGAACATCTGGAACTCAAGACAACTTTCAACCAACACCAAGGTCAGGATTTTCAATACAAATGTCAAGACAGTTCTACTGTATGGGGTGGAAACCTGGAAAACTACGAAAGCCATCATCCAGAAGATACAGATGTTTATTAACAGTTGTCCACGCAAAATACTTCGGATCTGTTGGCCAGACACTATCAGTAACAACTTACTATGGGAGAGAACAAACCAGATCCCAGCGGAGGAAGAAATCAGGAAGAAGCGCTGGAAGTGGATAGGACACACACTGAGGAAAGCACCCAACTGCGTCACTTGAAATCCTCAAGGTCAAAGGAGAAGAGGAAGACTAAAGAACACATTACGCCGAAAAATGGAGACGGATATGAAAAGAATGAAAAATAATCGGATAGAACTAGAAAGGAAGGCCCAGGACAGAGTTGGTTGGAGAATGCTGATCGCCGGCCTATGTTCCAATGGGCGTAACAGGCATAAGTAAGTAAGTATCATGTCTACAACCCACTTCACTAGTATCCGGTCTTCAGTGATGACTGAACTCTAAACTTAACATTCAGAAGACAGAATAAATGCAAACGGGTTACTGCCATCAATCCTAAGTCATGTCATCTAAGGTCGATAACCATAAATTATGATTGTCACCTAACTCTGAGTTGTGCATTCGCCCATACTCCTCAACTCAATAGCAAATGAACTTAAAAGTTAATAAACAAGACATAATCTCAACTATTTTTATTATATTGGTTCTAATCAAAGCACAATGGATTGAGAAAACATGGGAAAAAATCTGATAGTTGATATAAAAAAAACCGAATCTCAGTTATCAATCGGGTTTCGTAGCTTAATTGGTAGGAGAAATAACCATTAATATCAGGAAACTGGGATCTGTCAGGAATACTATTATTAACCTATTGACTGACTGTTCTAGATAAAAGTGAACCAACCAACTCGATGATCGTTATTATCAGTACAGGGTTATGGATATTGTTAAACATAACTAAGATCACAAACCGATTGAAGTTAGGTAACTATTCAAGACTCGCAAGCACTGGATTACAGTTTCGTCTCAGTATGGGACTCATTAACAGTGCAAGTCCGTGACCCCACATTCAGAAATCAAGCACAGGTCCTTCGGTCTCACATGAGAACGTTCAGCCTCTGGAACAGTGGGCTGGCATCCAAAGGTGGTAATGTCTAATTTCAATAAATGTACGATATTGCGTGGTCACCTCCTATTGTCTTTGGTCGATAACTTCCTAACACTCGAAAAAGTTTAACTTCACTGGTCACGGTTTCTCACTAGAACTCTGAAAATTTCCTATCGAAGTTAGCCACTAGTGAACACATGATAACTATTGTTATTAACATTAATATTAATATTAATCTTATTATTATTATTATTATTATTATTATTATTATTATTATTATTATTAGTAGTAGTAGTAGTAGTAGTAGTAGTAGTAGTAGTACGGTGTTTATCATATTAAGATACAACTAGACAACTCCACAAACCATAATTTTTGCTTCTAGAACTATTTTCACGCAACACTTATCACCTGGTCTTATTTATAAAGAAAGGTTCATTATTTTGTTGAGAGAACTGTGACGATGGATATGACTTATAGAAGGTTTTCGTAATGAGTTGATAACGGTCAAAAAACTAGTTGTGGTTGGTAGATTCCAATAATACCGCGATTGAGGTGGTCGCCCATCAGTACCATTGGATGATTATTACACTAAATCTCCATATCAGTCAAAGTGGCACACGTCGACTCACTAGTCTAAATGTAACATGTTTGTAGCGGGACGTAAAGTTTCAGGTTTTAACTCCTGATGGAGTCATAACTAAGCACGACAGAGGACTCTGATGAAAAGGCTAAACAGCTATCTGGCACTCTAGTTTCTAATGGTTTCTCAATTAATGTCAACCTGTAAGGTTTATTTAATAATTAATTCATTATCATTATCAAAACTTTAATTCCTTATAATTACATACTTTTACAGCTTGCCACCAATTCGGATCCTCTGAATTGACTATACGCAGAATTTCACCTTTTAAAAATGCCAGACCAGCTTCTGGACATGGGGTTAGTGAATCTGAGCTTGGACTGTATGAGAATAAAGCTCGAACATGTACCTAATCCAAAAAAAGTAGTTTAAGAAAAATAATATTAAGTTAGTTGACAAACAAATAAAGTTTTTAAAAAAACGTTATTAATTGAACAACAATGAACTCATAGAGCTGTGTCTTTATTTCTGATTACAGGAGAACCATACATACTGACTTTGATTAAGGGTCTCCAAAAAAGTAAAAAGATGGAAGATAATATCTGATGTTAATGTCGATTCGATGAATGATAAATCTTCACCTAAAATAGTTGAAATAAGCCTGGTTTTATACCAATAATCTCTAAGACCCTCGGGGAATGAATTGTTTTGAATCCTAATTTGGCTACCTGGCATCAAGAAAATATGTCTCGAGATGTCACTCCGACACTCACAAAGGTATACCACTCTCCACGAAATCTGGAAAGCCTAATTTCTATAATTAAAAGATTTATGGTTTTGCATTGATCAAAAACCGTAATCTAGGAAGAAATAGCTGTCCAGTGTTCCTTGGTTTTCAAAGATTCTTCTAATGAGTGATAAATATTATCTTTGACATTAAGATTTGGTTATATTCGGTATAATTTTAAAATCGTTGGATTTTGAAACTCTACTTGATGATAACGATGTCTAGAAATATTGGATAATTTAAATACTGCTTCTTACTTGATTTTTTTCTGCTTGTTGTTTTTTTGTAATAGATGGAATCAGTTTCAACTTCACATCGCCAGATATCGTTGTCTGTACATTTAAAAAGGAATTCATTTGAACAAAATCAAAAGGAAAGTATCAACTATGATTTAAAATAAAATAAAAGTAAAATGACAGATAAAAGAGTATTTTATGACAACTTTCCTAATCTTCACTCATCTATAAACAATACTAATCATAACTACATAATATATAAATAAATATATGGATTTAGCTCGAAACCAAGGAGTCATGGGACAGCTTTAATTTTCATACGCTGTAACTAAAAAGTTATAGTTGAGCTTCAAAGTTGAAATCTATTGTTTTAGTGTTCCTTGTTTTATATAACTTTGTTTTATTATAATATTATGAACAATCACACTTACATCCTGATTGTAAGTTGTGATTATGAATGTAACAGTGGTTCAGAGCTTAAAGGTATTCAGTTGTTTTTATACATATCTTTTGTTGCACTGAAATCTACCTTCATATGATAAATATCACTCATAAACTTGTGAGTAATGAACACTATAATATATATATATATATATATATATTTTTATAAAGCTATAGTGGATTAATATGATTATTTATGTAATTATTTTGCACACTAACACGGATGAGTAAATGAAAAGAGTTGTCCATTCAACATGATTACTTACGATATTGTATGGTTGTAATGAGTCAAAAGAATGAGATGATAGATCTACTTTTTAAGCTTTTCAGAATTAGTCACATTTGCTATGACAAAAGAACTGATAATATCCGGAAGAGTTGAATTTATACCAGTTATTGCTGCAATTGTAGACATTAATAATATAGTAGTTCGATCATGGTGAACGACATTTAGAAATTGAACTAAAATACAAAAGTCAGTCATTAAAATGACAACTAACATCAAATCATTGTGTCAGCAGTGATATGACTATTGTTGCCTTTGATTTCTTCAGGCACGTTGCTGTTGAATTTTATTAGACTAACTAGACTAGTAAAGGGAACATTTAATGCAGCTAATCTCTGTCTATCGTGCCCGATCCGATCTATGGTGATTCCTCAACTAAAGGATAAGTTACCTGGTTCTGACACATCTATGTGTATCTACGAATTCCTGTGGAGAAAGCTATATTGGGTGCCCTGCTAAACAACTGAGCCAACGAGTTAGTGAACACGTTCCTTTATGGTTAGGCAAGGGTACCGTCAAAACAATACGCAACCCTGTTCTATCACGCTTGATCGATAGCCGTCATGTAGCAGACAGAAATAGGTCATTTAAAGTAATTTATCGTATTACTGTCAATTTCTCTTATGGGATTCAATCTCGTCTCTTGCACACAACAGAAGCTATAGGAATCCGAGCTAACAATCCAAGTCTTTGTATTCACAATAAATTCGTAACATCTCTATATCTCCCTTGGCCTTGATAAATGGTTTTATTTTATTTATTATTTTCTATGCTCTTTGTTTCGTTTATTCTCATTCACCCCCTCCCACCTATTTTTTTCCAAATATATGCTTCATTGTTCAATTATCTGAACACTTCTTATTACACGATCTTATAGTTTTCATGAATGTTATTTCACTTACTTACTTACGCCTGTTACTCCTCGCAAAGGAACATAGGCCGCTCACCAGCCTTCTCCATCCAATCTTGTCCTGGGCAATCCTTTCCAGCTGTTATACATCTTGTTCATATCTGCTTCTATTTCCCGACGTAATATGCTCCTCTTTTGCGCTTCCCTTCAGGATTCCAAGTTAGGGCTTGCCTCATGATGCAGTTTGATGATTTCCGTAATGTATGTCTTACCCATTTCCATCGTCTTTTCCTAATTTCCTCTTCAGCTGGAAGCTGGGTTGTTCTCCCCCACAGAAGGCTGATGCTGATGGTATCCGGCCAATGGATGTTGAGTATCTTGCGTAGACAACCATTTAAAAATACTTGTACCTTTTGATGGTGGTTGTTGTAGTTCTCCAAGTTTCAGCTCCGCACAGTAGAACTGCCTTGACGTTCGTATTGAAGATTATCACCTTGATATTGGTTGAAAGTTGTTTTGAGTTCCATATATTCTTCAATTGTAGGAATGTGGCCCTTGCTTTGCCAATCCTTGCCTTTACGTATGCATCTGATCCTCCTTGTTCATTGATGATGCTTCCCAGGTATGTGAAGGATTCTACATCTTCCAGAGTTTCGCTATCAAGTGTGATTGAATTGCTGTTCTCCGTGTTGTATTTGAGTGCTTTGGTTTTCCCCCTGTGTATGTTGAGGCCTACTGATGCAGAGACTGCTGCTACACTGGTTGTCTTTATCTGCATTTTTTATTGTGTGTGCGATAGGAGAGCTAGGTCATCTGCGAAGTTCAAATCGTCTAATTGGTTCTGAGCTGTCCATTGTATGCCGTGTTTTCCCTCAGATGTCGAGGTCTTCATAATCCAGTCGACCACCAGAAGAAACAAGAACAGTGCGATCACCAAACATCTCCTTGATACAGGACATCAGGTAGATACCTTACAATCCTTTAGGGTGATTAGTAAGCAGCCAAACTCCAGTCTTCTGAAGTTTGCTGAAGCCATTGCCATCAGGCGACAAAAACCTGACCTATGTATTCAAAAGGAGACGGTGGTTAATCTTCCCTTACCCTGGTGACAAATATTCCTTCACTGAACCTTAAAATTTTTTTTCTCTTTTTTCTGTTGCAATTATTACATCATTGATGTTATTTTATTTTTCCAACTATCTTTCAAATTAATAATCTTTCAACTGAACTCTAATCACTATATTCCTATCAATGTTTATTCATTATGTAATCAATTGGTTCTAACCCATTTTTGAACTGTTGTCACAATTAATGTTGTAGAATATTCTTTCACATTAGGTATATATTTACAATATTCTGTAAGCAATTTAAATCCATTATGCAATTATGATTTTTAAATATCACAGGTTGTAAGCAGCTGACGAGAACCTACGAAATAAAATGAATTCATGCTATTCTGCTAGAATCTTTGTTCTTGCTCTTTTCAGAAACAGGAAAGTAAAGAGTAGACAGTCTTGTCTGACTCTAGTCCTTACTTGGAATGCATCTGTCAGCTGTCCTCCATCCACGACATTGCACTATAGTCAATGTTATTTCAGCATCTATATTTTTCATGTCATGGACTTATTTCGCAATATGAAGCATTCATTTGAGCCTTTGTTATCATAACTAGTAGACCTGTCATCACATTATCAATTTCTACGCTTTACTTATTATGTTTATTTATGTAATCACTGACTCATAAACTGCCTTGGTTGGTTTAATGGTTTCTTATATGCATATAAATACTACTGTATATTAAAGTAAAGCCTGATGAAGATCCAACCGAAAACAATATTGTCCGGTTATATATGTTGTTCGAATTTTATTAAATCTGAAAAATGTGTATCCAGTCAAGTTTCGCGACCATTTTGCGAAAATACCTTGTCAACCAACATCAATCAACACAAAGAACTCAACAGTATGAAACTATTTAATGCAAAGTGACTTAATCCTAATTTATTCATTTTTTCAGTCAATAGTCACGTCAATGATCCAAAAACTGTGATAACATAAAAAAATCGCTTCAGACAGTAAAACTATACCTTTGTGAACATCATTGGAAATATCAATGTTTAAAATAAAGCTAACTCATCATAATACTTCTTGTGTCTACACACACTATACAAGAGTATTGATTAATTTTGGCTAAAAAGTAAATAATTTATAATACTGATAAATAAGCTACTGACCAACATTCGTATCACTTCCATAGGGTCTCGCCCATGTACGGTAATACCATTAATCTCTTGGATTTCATCCCCGACATCAATAGCATCTGAAGAAAGCATGAACACATAAGAAATAAAAGCCCACACTTGAGTCGATTTATATTACTGCACAGTGAATCACATTACTTAACAAAGGAGTAGACGTAAATACATCAGGATTTATTTTGTGAATTTGAAAAATTTCGCTACATTATATGATAAATATATACAGAGTACTTACATGACATTAATGAATTTATACATCATCAAGTCAGTTACGTACATGGTAATGCCTAATTGATGGTCGAAATCAGCACTAAAGGATCACACAGAAATAAAATCGGTGATTGCTCAGTGGTCAATCAATTTTAAATATATCAGTCCCATATGAGGATAGTCGAGACCCGAACAACTCGGATGTAATGTTTCAGAATGTGACGCTGGGTGACTTGAGTTTGAATCTCACATAGAGCACCAGTTTCCTCGAGATTGTAGATACAACTTGTTGACGAGTGCCAGTTACCATGATACATAGTAATAGGGTTTCTTATCGACTACCTTCGGCCACCTAAGACTAAAACTTAGCGCACGCGATGTCCATTCACTTAGACGAGTTGTCCTATTGCAAATCGATCAGTAGAATTCGATCAACACTAAAGGACTAGATAAAAATGACATTGGTTATGACTAGGTAGTCAATGAAGGTTATCGGGCCAGGTTCATCATGTGAGGGGTTGAGAAAGTTACAGGATTACCAAGCTTGCACAACAGATAAAATATAAGTTAGAAGGAGATAGGTTTGAAAGATAAGTCGCCTGGTGAACCAAAATACTGATTCATGTTCTTTTATTTTTAGGGTCACATTGATTACCTATTAATATACACTAGTTTTAATGATAGTAACAGTGATACATGGACTTCAGTGATAGTCTTTACTACTTTGCCCTAGTCCAATTAAGTTAGTCAAATGTTAAATAAATACTTCACTAAATTAGTTTGAGGTCGCTGAATTTTTAGGGAATAATTTCAATTTATTTTGTTTGCTATTCAATTTAATACAAATGCTTGGTGCGGATCTAAAATGTCACTTGCATTATTACTCTATTGCTTCTTCCATGATCCAAGAACAAATAATTAAACGTCACCGTTTAGTGATTCTTTCATTTATAAAATTCAGTCTTTCTATTATTAGAATATTTAAAATTTCCTGAACAGTATCTTGATCCCTATCAATTAATACAAACACAAGTATTGATATGAGCTTATTTACAAACATTCACTGTCTAGACTGAAGCTTTGAATGCAACACTCACCCAGATTAACCGTCCACTATCTCATTTCAAAACCAAACCAGAATGCTAAAAAACAGATATCCATATAGTTGTATAAAAACGATCATTTATAACATTTGTGTCCTTGTAACCAGTTCTGTTCCACATAGACTCAAAAATTTCTGTCTAAACTCCAGAATCTAGGTCTATGAATAGCTTGTACTGCTCTACTATATATTGATCATTAACTAGCCGCGAACTCATCTGTACTTGTAACTAATATGTTAATCATTCAGAGAAACACTATAATTAAGGTCTGTTTTATTGTTAGATATGATTAGAATAGTTGTCTTCTCAATAGAATTACTATTTTGAAAGTGTTTACCACAAAGTAACATCACGTTTTCCTAATAAAAATCATCCCAAATGTGCTACATTGGCAAACGCATGATGATTTTAATAATCGTCTACTTCTTAATCTACAACAGATTTATCAAAATTATTTGTGGATTTATTTGCCGTTAAGCTTATTATTAGGATTTGGAGGATCGTGAAGATAGTTCACTTTGTAGTTTAAATCAGGAATTAACAGTAGCTAGGTAGCCATTATAAACCAGGAAGCAGTGAACAGCTTTCTCGTTCAATTATTGAACTCTTTAACCGTGCTCATCCACAACCTCATCATGGATATCACCTAGGACCTTCATACATTGCAGCAAGAGCTTAAACTTCAGATAATTAAAGTGGCATCCAATGACCTACATGTCCAGCTTCAATCAGTTCATATTATACGACTATCATTCATTCCCATTTAGGATAATTGTCTAACGTTCAACAAGATTAAACTCCCCTATACACAAATTCTTACAGTTAATCACTAATGTGCACAAATTTATAATTAAAACAATAGGTTTATGTGAGTTTTTGCTGTGGAAATAATCAACAAACTTCATTCTCAATAATCGCCCCCAAATGCGCTGGTACGGCCGAGAGTGGAGAGAGTTTGCTCTCCCTCTTCAAATGCTCTCACATGGCCATGTGTATACAGCCTCTGACATGTAAGTCCTACTCACAGCCTTCTCATGGTGGGTGATTTGTTTACGAAATTGAGAGGACGGAAAGCGAATGTCCAGTGCTTTAACCGGGTTAATTAATTTATTTATTTTAAAACATAGATATTGATACAAGGAGGCACCAAATACACATGCGCCAAACAAACCTCATTTGATATGTGTGAGGGCTGTGATACTGCTCGGGTGCCCATACCGAAGCAGGAACCGGGTTGGTGGACATGGAGAGTCCACCCAGAGGAGTTGGAAAACCTTGATTCCAAACCAATGGTGCACATGGGCTCCAGTATCCTGAGAGAACAAATGGCGTATGAAGCAATCGTTGGTCACCGGCTACCATGGGACTGCAACTTCTTACGATGCTCCACTGCCTTGAGAGAGATGGAAAAGGCAGCGGCAATAGGTAATAGCAGACAATTGTTCAGACTTGTTAAGGAAACCGGTATTAGGAAACCGACTGTTAGCGAAACACTCTCAGAGAAAGATGGACATATTATACATTCTCAATCCAGGAGATTGGATCGATGGGCAAAACACTTGAGGGATCAGTTCAACTGGCCTTCAGCCACACTTCGGTTTCCCACGATCTCTAGTCAACCTGAACGGCAAGTTAATGTAGGTCCTCCGTCTCTTTACGAAGTTGAAAAAGCCATAGGGAGTCTGAAGCGAGAGATAGCAGCAGGCCCTGACAGGTTTACTCCTGAGATTTTTAAGGATGGTGGTTCAGTATTAGCAGTGAGATTAAGTGAGGTCTTGGGTAGAATTTGAGAACTGGACGTAATACCATCTGACTGGTCTCAATCACTGATTGTGCCAGTCTATAAGAAAGGACAAAAGTCCTCTTGTGACAATCACAGAGGAATTAGTTTGACAAATATAGTGTCTAAAATATTAGCTTCAATAATACTTCGACGCCTAATCGAAGCTCGTGAAGAACAGACTAGAGAAAATCAGGCTGGTTTTCGACCTGGACGTGGTTGTATAGACCACATATTCACACTACGTCAGGTTCTAGAACACAGACACACGTTCAGACGCTCCACAATCGTAGTATTTCTCGACCTTAAGGCGGCATTCGACTCTGTTGATCGTAAGGTTCTATGGCAGTGTTTGTCACTGAAAGGAGTACCAAAGAAGTACATTAACCTTATAAAGGCTCTCTACTCGAACACAACTGGTAGAGTGAGAGCTTATGGTGAACTGTCATCAGAATTGATTACCTCAAGTGGTGTTCGTCAGGGCTGCCCACTCTCTGCATTCTTGTTCAACTTTGTCGTCGACGTACTTTTAGAGATGACACTTTCCTCGTCTAGATTTCCAGGGGTTGAACTTATACCGGGAGATTCACTTGTTGACTTAGAATATGCTGATGACATAGTTCTATTTGGTGAAGACGCTGACAAAATGCTGAGTCTTCTGACCACTCTAAGCAACAATGCAAGCATGTTCGGGATGCGATTCTCTTCCTCGAAATGCAAAATGTTGCTTCAGGATTGGGTTGCATTGACACCCGAACTAGTGATAAGGAGTGAAGTAGTTGAGCGTGTCGATCGCTTCACTTATCTTGGAAGTCTCATCAGCCCTTGTGGTCTGGTGTGTGACGAAATCTCAGCACGGATACAGAAGGCTCGACTAGCTTTTACCAACTTGAGTCATTTATGGCGTAGGCGAGATATCCGTCTATCAACCAAAGGACGGGTTTACTGAGCAGCAGTTCATTCCGTCCTACTTTATGGCAGTGAAACATGGCCGCTAAGAGTAGAGGATATCCGTAGGTTACTAGTATTTGATCATAGGTGTCTTCGAAGCATTGCTCGTATATCCTGGGACCATCGAGTGAGTAATGCAGTTGTTAGGAAACGGGTACTAGGTAAGGATGACAAATCAATTGATGAAGTAGTGAAACCTCGTCAGTTGAGATGGCTGGGACACGTGTTACGTATGCCCAACGACCGACTGCCTCGATGTGCGATGTTTTGTTGTATAGGAGTAGATGGGAAGAAAGTTAGGGGCGGTCAGACCAAAACATGGCACAATTCCATGAAGTCACTGACAAGTAGACTGAGTCATATTGGTAGGTGTAGACTACCTGGTTGGGGACCGCGAGATGATAGCAACTGATGGTTATAGACCCTGAATGACATGGCTCAAAATCGTTTGCAATGTCGCAGGTGCATCCACTCTTTGTGTTCCCCCAAATTCTAATCTTCTGAATTCTTCATGTCCCTTTTTTTTCCTCTTTCCAAATTTATTTCACTGGATTATACTCCTTGAATAGCATCTTCAAACCCTAATTTTTCTGATTACAGCTTATAATTTTACTACATCTAGCACTACGGGATTTAAATCGAACACTGCATCTCTGTGCTAATGTGGTGTGGCAACTCGAACTGATGTACGTACGTACGAAGTTCTACGTTGTTACTGACTGATTGACTGACTGACCACTGCCTTGTGGATCAGACCTTTAGGTACAAGGCTCGGGGTGTGGCCCCCTAAGAAAACCACCTGTTCGATTTGGGCACCCGGGTAGTATCACAGGCCTCACACAAATCAAATGAGATTTGTGTGGCGCATATGTATCTGGTGCCCCCTTGTACCAATATCTATGTGTTCAAATATACAAATAAATACTCATTAATCAGCTTAAGGATCGCTCAAAAATGGTATACCTTTTATAACCTTACTGAATTTTTATCAGGCTACCTAGCAGTGACATTCTAGATATATTAAAGTAACTAAATAATCTAACATCTTTAGAGTTTAAATCACAAACTGATCTAAGCTATACCACTATTGGAAACCTGGGGGAAATGGAAAGCCGTTTCGTCCAATTACGGGACTAATCAGCAGTGTGTATCCATGATTTTTCATCCTGGAATTGAATCAAAGACCTTCAGAACCGCGCGAGAACACTTAATGTCTGAACCACTGAGCCAGGATTCAACAGTGTTAGTGTTTAACTTCAATCAATTTACAATATTGTGCAACCCTCATCCATTGATTGAGGTGATTTATACTGTGAAAACTCTTTAATACTAAAAATATAAGTTCTATCAAAATAACATTAACACATTAATATTATGAACTAACTAATAAAGAATTCTGTGAACAATCCTAATATTCCACATTTAGACAAAGAGTATAGTTCATTTTAACGAGTTTATTTTGTTACCTGTACGATCAGCAGCTCCACCGTGCATAACACGTGCAACTAGAACAGCTCCATTTCTTTCATTAATTTTAATTGTAACTCCAAGTGGTTCATGATTCTTGATTAAATTTACAATCTTTTGTTAGTCATTAATAGGAAGTGAGATTATATGGTTTTTAAAAATGAAGTTTACCTTCACGCTTATATCATCTTCATCTACTTCTGATGATATCTGTGGTAGAACTGGTCCATAAGCTTTATTCGCTATTCCATCATGACAAAGTAATAACGACTAAAACAATTTGAATCCCTCTCTCTCTCTGTGTGTGTAAATAACTTACTTTAATATGTGGTCTGGCTAATAAATTAACTAACTGTTCTGCTTCAGGAATATAATGATGACATCTTAAATGATCATAAGCCTTTAATGAAAGAAAGAAATAGTAAAATGGAAAACAAATCAATGTATTACTTCGATAGCAGCAGCCTTTGCACATAATGATATTGGTTGAGGTTTTGCTTGAGACAGTAACAATTCAATTTGTTCATATGTCTTTAACAGAGTAGTTCATTCGAATGAAGTCACAATAAAAAATATACCTTGGAGAAACGTGCATCAATATTTTCATTTCCTGATTTAGCACAAGTTCCGAAGACTAGAGACATTTTGTAAATACTTAGTAAAAATTCCAATGACTAGGATTTATTCCTTGACCTTGTAAATGATTGGTTAATAGAGAATCAATAAAATATCTTATTGGGTTCAATGGCAGAGGACAAATAACAACGTTAGCCAATCGTAAAAATGTAAGCTTCTTTGGTAGTTCTAAATGATGTTCCTTTACAAATAGAATTTAAATAAACTTTTAGTTATTTTATTAAATTATGTCGGAAAAGACTTGATGAATCGGTGTTTTTATGGTATTTCTTTCTAAACTGGAAAACAACAGGTATATCGTCATACACGAGACATAACAATGTTGAAAGTAGCGTAAATGAAGAAAACTTACAAATCTCCTTATCTCTTATTTGATTTGTGTATTTCAGAGGATAAGAAGGGATCTGTTCCCCAAGTATTTTGACAGCAACACGATTCTTCCAATCTCGGAAAACATCCACAGACTTACATGAGCGGACTCAAGAGAAAAAACTGTAATGGATGAACATGTATTCCCATACCCAAACCAGATCAAAACTGTCTCAATATACTGACTTTTATGAGTTTCATTCACATGGACTCTTAGTCAGATTTTCAGCTATACGATTACTCACATTCCGATTACAGCTACATGCTAACAAAGGTTTGAATCTCAACTACTGAACGACTTAAATCTATACAACTGAAAAAAGAGTGTGGCAGTGAATTAAATTCGTCAGTGAAACCAGAGTGACAGTAAGTATTCGGTGACTTCTAGGACAATCAAATACAAATACCACGTGTTTTTAGTGATGACCCTTACTTTTTATGTTATTAATTCGGCAGTCGACACAAAAGAGATGTTAAATATTTTATTTTGTCGAACGCTTCGACCAGGTGTTTTCCTACTTTGTCACTCTCAAAGAAAAATTAACTGAACGACAGCTATCACCACGACACTGTTTTAGGTCATATCTAGCTCTATAGTTTGGTCGTTTTCGATGGGGGATTCGAAAATAAGTTTGTTATCACGACTTTTTTATAAATAGTGGTACGGCTTGTATTAGTTCATTTAAATTTCTTTGGTCATCCTTACTAGCCTTATTATAATTAGCTCAACAGTTATACGACTTTGATAATCCGGGAAATACTAGATACCAATGCATTTACTCTGTAATGTCGAGGTACTCCAGAGGTATGGATGATCTGCATTGGATTCCATGTGCAGTAGGTGCTTCTTGTTCATGAGTCTTGAACTAGAACGAAATACTGTCTTTTGTAAATGTTCATTGTCTACAAAATGAGTACCAGTGAGTACATTGACACAATTGTTAGTTCACGATTTCATTTGTTCCAGATAGCTACACTTCCTTACATTGGCTTATACCATGTAGATTTTTGACATATCTTATTTTGAATACATACTCTTAACTAATTTTTTCAACCTGTTTTTATTTCAGTCACAAAATATCTAATTACCTGGAATATGGAAAATATGATATAATACTACCTGTTTACTTAAGTTAACGTATGGCAAAAATTTTCCCTCGAAAATTAAGCCCCATTTTTCCATTAGTGGCATATACCTCAACATGAGAAAAGCGTTATGTCCTAGCACCGGCCAATCCGCATAGACGAGCTGAAGCAACCAATACGCAACAAGGACGAGAAGACTTATATTCTATGCCTGACGGTTGGCCCAACACTAACTGGCCCCAAACGAAGAGGAAGAACATACAACCAATGATCACCAGTTCAGGATCACTGTTACATTCCAGATATCCACTTACATACATACAAGACCAGGTCATGTAGCAGACCAATTGAGTAACAGTACTAACATGGAGTAATATTACTGATGGAAAACGTGATGGGTACACAAATAATCGGTTCTAGTTTATGAGTTGAAAATGCCATAGCAACAAAGTATATATATTAAAATAAAACCTTAAAAGAATAGCTTCGAAAGTTTTACCTCACAGTTAAATTATTTTTCATGACAAAAAAGGAAGTTGGATCTTGATTAATCATGAACATTTATCGTTCATCCACATTATCAAGAATACTTTAGTATATCATGTCAACTAGAAGTTCAGAACGGATAAGTTGATGTTTCAATGGTAGCAGTTGGTACAGAAGTAACTGCTGACAGTAGATAACTTATGTAGCTTTTTTAAATATTGTTGTATACATATAGAGGTACTAAGAGAACCACTGTGGTGTGTGCTACTTATATTGACATAAGTATATGATGTTAGCCGTGAACAGAAGGTCTGACAGCAGAGAGACAAGAGGATCGAACAGTAAAGAATGGAAACAAGATGCAATTTGTATGAAAATGCAAGAACGATGAAGTCTGATTCATTTTGAGACAATTGGTGGACATTTTGCAAATTAAACATTTACTTAATGATTGTTAGATTTTGTTAACAAGTCCTGTAATTCTGTGTTAAGTACACTCGACTGTCCCCACCCGTGTTCTGTTCACTACACCACCACCAGTTGTTAGATACTACACGGAAAGGTACACTGTCGAACCTATGTTGGACCGAACTTAGATGTTCCGAGGCTAATACATTACCATTTAGCAACTGGACCGAAACCTAATGTTTCGTATTTTCAAACTTCGATGAGCCGCCACTGGTTTGTAATAGTCTTGCTTGGTAGTCAAGCTGTATTACAAATTGAGAGGGAATCCATATGCGAGCTTCTGAATTTTGACTAAGTAGCTCAATGGCTTCCAGCCATGTGTGGGTTTCGTAGTCCTAAACCGGAGTGCGCCAGAAATGATTTTTTGATTAATCTTTCATAGGTGACTTTTCACTAACTTCACACTTAACCGATGACGTAAGTTATAAGACCTTACAGATTTTGGCCATTACAGCACAAACGGAGTTTAGTAAGGTGTCTATTCAACGCATGTATGTTGTGAAATACCCTTTAAAGCCTGTAAATCAATAAGAAGTTAAATGACATCTAGATTCTTTTTCCATTTCGCTTGGAAGAAAAGAGTTGACAATCTGGCACCGCATAAAGTCAAGAATACTCTGAGAAGGGGACGGCAGAGTCAATAATGTGACACTATAGACAAGCTAATCGTCACTGGGGATTAAATCCATGTTTCCATGTACGCTTCGATAATGTAAAAGTGAGTTATATATCGCTGAGTTTACCAAACTGTGTGTGTAAGTATGGAGAAGCGCTCAATATACACAATCAAGTGATGGGATATAAACATAAATGACTCTATGTCAGTTGAGATTCCAATCTCAGATAAGTACAGGTGTTAGCTATCCATGATCCTCTATGGCCAAACCTGGAATAGAAACAGCATGAGATTGACTCCAAGACATTTGAAATCTATATGGAAACTACCATGGGGAAATTCTTAGGTTGTATGTATCATTACCAAGGTTTGATTTGATAATTTCGAATAAATTGAGCATTGGGTAGGTTGTTATCAATAAATAATATATTTGTAAAATCTCAATGAGTAGAAAATTAGACTTTCTGACGTTTCGTGACTTAGTGTAAGTCACTTCTTCAGAGAATAGGTAACCAAATTAAAATTAATCCAAGTTTAAATAGTACAAACGGAACAATAAGAATAATATCTGATCAATCAAAAACAGGCCTGGACAAGTTAATGTCATGTCATTTCTGTCAAGGTGATTCATAAGTGATATGTATGTAAATTTGTGTGTGCATTGCTTAAGAATGAAAAATTGTGTGACCTTTATGGTGAGAAACGATAGAGTTCAATTTATAATATGGTAGTGTGAATTGTAAATATGATCAGACTGAATGGCTAGGATAGATGGTCCAAGTAGGATGTATGGTGAAGCCTTCCTTTCTATTGAGAGAAGTAGGATTAAGCATTATATGGAACGCTTCAGCTACCCCCCTTTCTTTGTAGTTGGAAAAGCCTTTTTGCAATATTTTGATGTTTTTAAAATCAATTTGGTGGTTGTTGAAAATGGCATGAACTGCTATTGCCGATTTAATTTGAAGTTGATCCAATTCTACAGGATTGTTAAGAGGTTTCTTTGTGTACCTAATATGTTCTTTGGCTCTAGTCAAGATTTCGCGGGATGACTCTCCAATATAGAAGGCATCACAATCGATACAACCTAATTTGTAGACACAGTTCTGTGTGGACATGAACGGGACTTTTTCTTTTAGGCGAACTAAAGTATTTCGTAGTGTGTTCGTTGTTTTGTAATATACTTTAATTCTGTGATGTTCCAAGATTCTTTGAAGTTCTTCTGTTGTGCCATGACGGTATGGTAGAACTGCAGTACCAATCCATGGCATTTCATTCGAATCATTGTTATAACGTACTAAACTGTCTTGTTTTAATATACTTCTAATAATCTTCATAGGAAAATTATTAAATTGTAAGATGCCAACTATATTCTTTTTGTTTGTCTTCATCTGATGTGATGATCTTGTTAGCTCTTCTAAAAAGATTTGATGCTAGCGAGATCTTAACACTAAAAGGATGTGCTGAATGGAAGTCAATACAACGATTTGAGTGCGTAGGTTTTAGGTAAATGGATAGGTTCAGAATCCCATTTGGACTTTTTTTTAATTTTCTACTAATTGGGATTTTACAAATATATTATTTATTTATTCTTAGGTTGGTTTATGTGTTCAAAAGAATTGTCCTTATCTTTAGCTTAACCTAAAAGAGATTGCTTCAAAGTAGTCTGAAAATGTGCTATTATTTGAAGGTCCACTTCTCAACCACAATTTTTAAACGGGATACCATCAGACTATTTAATGTAGGTAGGAATTCTTTAAAGTAATAAAGCAGTAATAAGTTACAAGTTCTATAGAAGTAAATTATATACTTTTGGTTTGTCTAGGACTTCAACCTCATTTTACTTCCACATTCGGTCATTTGGAATTATTTATGTTCACGATATTTGCTTCCCATATGTTTGTATTAATATTTTCTCTTAGTGCTGAACCTCCATTCACTTATTAAAAAAAACCAACTATATGCGGATTCATAGAGTGGGGGCAAGTCACACCGATATCAGAGTTAATTACATGTTAAAAGGCTATTTGAACACTCGATAAGGTAGGATTTTGACATGTAACCCAGTTGT